ATGTGACGAGGGCTCTTCACTGCTGTTCACACGCGCCATCGAGGTTGTGGTGCCGCCCAAGAACTTTATTTACGCATTCTTTTTCATCTAAAGTAATCCTTTTGTTCGTTCACGTTCTCACCACCTAGTACCTGGCAGGTGGCATTCGATTCCACTAGGAAAGTGTGGACTGTGAGAGTGAGTGAAATGGCTAGTTGAAGGAATGTGCTCACTGTGTCACTGGTGTGATAGACATTCCTCCTTTTTTTCAAGTCAACGCTCTACTAGACACTAAGGGATGTTTAAACTACGGCAGTATCCACAGTTCAGCGTTTAGCGAACTGATCCGCCGATGTTGGACAATCATTTGACAGCCTGGAGGGTGAGCATCTGCTTATCTTGATGGTAATGCAATTACTTGACACGCAGAAAAACTGATGCCACCTTTTCCGTCCTCGCAATTGTTTCCTCTTAGGTGTCTGGTGAAATCATACCATTGATAAAAAAATACGGTCAAGTTAATCTTCTCTTTAAAAGTGGATGACAGTAATTATGAAAAAAGGAAGGATACATGGCATTGTGCACCCCATTTACACCAGGAGTCGCCTGAATCCTCTGCTACTTCGAAGCACTTCTGTCTGGAGCCCCTTGTTCATTTGCCTACTTTCAAGGACCCTCGCAAATTCAGCTTTAACATTTAGTGATGAATGGCTCTTTCACTTTAAGCTAAAGTTATTCGTGTTGAAGTAGTATGCTCAGATTATCACCGTCAAGAAGCGTGTTAGTGATTTTGCAATCCTAAACCGGGAACAACGCCAAACAAGCAAAGGCTTCTTTTTCAATTGTGACAATCTGTCAAAATTATCCATTACTTGTTGGCTAGCTTTGTTTACTATTGAGGAAGCCTAATTTGACTCTTACACATCGTTGAATTTGCGCGTAGAAGGAAGGGCAGGTCAATTCACCTTTCACGGTAAATTTGAATGCGCCATTCCAAATAGATGAGGGCTTACCTGGTGTCTGTCATGTGACTCGGCTCCGGCAGTCAGTAAATGCAATTTGCGTAATAATTATCAATGAGTGAGATAAGCTATATGAAGTGGAGTCACAATCTTCTGAGGGAGATGGCAAGCTTGACTGACGCGTTGTGGAGACTGCATCGTGACAGCCACTTATAAGTACATTGAACAAGTGAATGACAGTCACCGAAACTCAATCATAAGTTAACGTTGTTAGCTCTAGAGTGAAGTGAAGTGGATTGCAAAAAGAAAAAGAGAGACCCGCATTTACGCCTCACTGGCGGAGAGGTATCGTCATTCCCTTGCGCTCTTGAAAGTTAAGAACCACCCATCTGAAACGGCGATAACTGTTGTTGATTATTTTCTTCCTTTACAATTATTAGTAGAATATTAACTGGACATGCGTCTCTTCTAGTGTGCAAAATTGAAAAGTTTGCGAGAGTAGTACCAGTACTGGACATGCACAAGAGCTATGTGTCCAGTCTGCATGAAGAGATGTCTATACCATCAGCGTGGTGATCGAATAGAAATAAAATATAACTAAAACAAGTATTTTTTAACCACACAGACGCTACCAGTCTGCAAATTGCGCGTGATTCCATTCGTGTCTCAAATCTCAAATCCCTCTAAAACGCTAAGATAAACTTAGCCATAGACACGTCCGTCCCCGGAAGTGACTCCGGTCCCATCAGCGGCGAACTCGTGTGCATAAACAGACTGCCCCGATTAGCAAAAGTGTGTGGGCGACGAGTGCCCACGTCCACTTGTCTCCGTCTGATCTGATTAAGAAGATTAGAGATAGTGCATATGCTTGGGCGTATGCGATTAATCACAAGGCCATACAAATTAGCCAGCGAGTGGTTTGTCGCTCTCTCTCTACCTCTCTCGGGGTCGCGCCTCACCATTCATCACTCATGCCTCTGCCCTACCTCGCCCCGATCTAAGGATCAAAGGAAATCTGACACTTTGACAGACGCTTATATTCGCTCTCTCCTCCCTTAGGATGTTGGATGCTTTTGGACTAGGCACGAGCTAGGTCTACAGCCTGGTCGGTTGGACATAATTCGTTTTAGGAAAGCATTTAAAACTCCTTTCTAAGGTGTAAATTCACATAGTGTCATTTAATTAATTTCTGGTGATTAATCGTGAAATTTAGCGAAAATAACATAATATATGTACCGCTTGAGTTGCCCCTAAAAGCATTCATTAAACTCGGATTGAAGGAAAAGTAACTTGGAAGCAGTGTTGCAAAAGAACTCGCGATATATTCATAGTCACACATTTTGTAGAAGAATGAATTGGTGTGGGTCTCTCACACTCATCTGGCAGTAAAATTGCTTATGAGGCAGTTGGAAGAAATTTTCAGTCAATCAAACTTCATTATATTCTCTTGTTGATTCGCTCTAATACATGAATTAAAAGTCTGTTGTGATGGACGAAGCAGAAGAGGAACAGTTGGGCTCTCGGTTCATATAACCTGTTCCACTAGTCTCTCAGATCTTCACCACATCGGTACTAGACCTTTTTTCTTAAAAAATAACCCCAGGGATACTAGTAGACAAGTATTAGGAGATTGCACGACCTCCTTTCGAGGTTTTAATGCAGTTCTATTCGGTATTTTCAGTTCTTAATGAGCTTAAAGCAGGAAAGAAGGTGCTATATTGCCCCAAATGGGTTATTGTTCTCTAATCTGATGCGCACAGAAGGTCCAGATAGTCATGAGCATGGGACGAAGACCACAGCACCAAGATGGCGGCCGAATCTCCGAACTTAAATTACATGCTAACGGGAAAAAAACTGTTTCACTACGACTTGATGTTACAACAAGGAAAATCCCTAATTGAAATATGCTCGATACACAGCGTGACACTTGACACGAATAACTATACACCCAAAAAGCCAACCTTAAAGGAGAATGAACCCACAGAAAGTACCAATAACATTTTAATGGAGGCAACTTCTCTCCCTCACCACGCATCCATTTAACTCTGATGGTGGCAATGATTGTAATGATCGTGATTAATTTCCCACAGTAACGGCCTAGAAGGCTTGTTAATCAACCCGAGGGCTGATTAATCACGTACTGGTAAAGTCTTGACAGCGAGTAATTGATGGCAGTGGTGGTGGAGGTGGCGATGGCGGTAGGAGGATAGAGGAGTGGAGGCGGGGAGGAACACCGAGACTGCCACGGGGCCAATGTCAGTCTTATGAAACACAAGCTTGTGGATATTACTAATCCAGAGTCCGTCGTCTGCGAATGGGCATCGATAGGTTGGCACCTGTACCAAGAGCAAATAAGAGACCTGTGTTATGACAACTCAGTTTTTTCTTAAGCTCACTTGGCAAGAACTTTCTTAAATATTTAACAAAATCCTCTCCAGATGGTACAATCGTTCTCCCCCGCCTCCCCACATAGAACGCAGAGTATCCCATACCATACCTCGTGAAACATCTTGACATGATGAGACTTGCAATTACGATGTGTTGCACCACTAACAGCTTTGTGATTAACATTTGAACAAGCATCAATGATTATTTATCCCTACGTCAGCGTGTGTGATGCAACCCATCTGTAAATCTGTGTGTAGGGAAGACGAGCACGAGACCCGTGAGAAAAGAAACAGGCGTGGGATGGGACTTTAGCTGCACCCTGTCAACTTGACATGTAGCCATTTACAACTCCCCTCCTCTCCCACAAAGCTTCAACCTCCTGGCTCCCATCAAGTCCGTAGTTAATTCTAGCTCCATCAATCCCTGTATGAATAAAAACTTCTGAAATTGAGTTAAACAGACTCTACTTAAATAATTTTTCCCAGTTCGTAGATTTTTTTACCGATGTAGATAAGCGAATAAATAAAAAATTACTTCAATTGCGTGGAAGAGTATCATTTCCCTTGTAAAGTTTTCAGGATCTTTAGGAAAGCTATGTTTTATTCCACATAGGCCGCCTTAATAGTATAAGGCTTATTTTCTGCTTCTTTGAAGTAATACACTTCTCTTAGCATCAACCTTCATCATTGTAGCGCCCGAGAAAATTGGAAGCGTAGGTAGCATTGGCAGTCACCAGTACGGTGGAAAAAACGCCAGAAATTGAAAAGACACACCTACCCGGGTAGACGAGTGAAATAAGTACCAGTCTACTACGCTCCATTATAGTATTCTGATAGAGGTGAAATCACCGCATTGTAAAATGTTGAAATTGCATGCAGTGCCCTCCTCCCACCATCCCAATTGCCCTTACAGTGACACAGTCCCGTTTCTCAGGCCCGCTTGTCACAGATCTGTCAGTGGACGAAACTCCTTTTTGGACGCAGGGAATCCGTTCCCGTGCCTGTCATCAGATGTAAATATATGATAGGGTTAGAAGCATTACCATTGCTCAATGGTTCCACCTCGCCGCTTCTCCAATTCAACTATCTTCTGATTCCGGTCGTCTGTTTCGCTAAACACTACCGGTCCCCAAGTCCTTGATCCCTTGTGCAAAGCGACAAAACGGAGGAGCATCAGACCAAACCTGCCTTGCAAATTACGGTTCTGTGAATATACAGGCTTTTAAACGTCAATGTTAATACCTTATCTCACCTTGTATTCCACTAGGGGGAGGGGGATTTAGGTTAAGTCGCCACCCCAAGGTTGGCACCCACATTGATCTTGACGAGGTGTTGAGTAGTAAAGTGGCTCCACAACATGATTTGCTGATGCAGAGGGTATAAGCTTTTGGACTAATAAAATGGACTCGCACTTAGGCAAGAGTGTAAAGTTGATAAGGCTCTATAATTTTGTCGCATAGGATGTAAGTTGTGTGGGTGTTTGACTTAGAAATGCCAAGTTTTGCCGTCCACCTTTCCATTCTAAGCTGAGTCGTAAATCTAAATTATTTTGGATAGATCTCTTTAGAAGAATTCTTGCCATTCTGATTCATGTTTATGGGAAATGGTTCATTTGACAAGATGTAGGTTTCACTACGAAGATTTCCAAGATTTTGTCCTGTTCCACCATAACATGTCTAGTCACCGTTACTTTTTGGATCTCTTCAATTGCTTCTCAATGATTTTAAAACATGAAGTTGTCCTACATCTACTATATAGTTCGAAATTAAAAAATCATTTTGTGGCACGATATGGTACAACCATTTATCAGGAACTGATTAGAAATGTGTTGGATTGCTTGCTCCAGCTATCAAGATGTTGTCAATCATGGTTTCCTCTCAACTGACTAACCTGCGTCTAAACAGTATGACGATAATATGGCATCATTCGCATATCATTGTAACGCAGTTTATCACTGCCACTGCATGCACGGACACCTGCATGCATAATAAACGAGATGGTTGTAAAGTGGAACATCCACGAGAAGGGAGCACGTTGTCACAAATGATTGATATTGCCGAGGCCACGAATAGCGGTGCATATGCCTATAAAAGGGTGATAAACTGGTGGGGAGGCACAAATCATGCAACCGAGTACCAGGTGGGAGCCGTAAAACCCTGTCTCAAGTTAGGAATAATGAAGTTTATTAACTCGACTGTTTCCAGTGGAACACATCACCCAAGTTTACCTCTATACCCCGGAGCACCTTAGTAGGACTAACTTGGACCTGATCGTAGACGCTGGTGCTTAGTAAAATTCGCATTCATTTTTCCACCGACCCGTTGACAATGCCACTTTTATCCAGATTTCCTCAACAATTTAATTTTGCTATTTCTTAAAACCTATGCATAGAATACGATCAATTTCCATGTTTATTTATTTGACGATGTAAGTCGCAGAATTTTCAGCCTCCCCCTGGCTGTATCATTTTTAAAGAAAAGTCATTATTAAAGTACAGGGGATCTGCCTTGGTCTACACACCTTAGTCGGTGCTTTAAAAACTACCTATGAGTAAGACCATGAAGGCAGCCATTTAAGCTTCATATAAGTGAGAAGAGGTTTGATCCATACGTCTCTGATATATCTCGGCTATTCAGTGGTTTCTGAGGTCTTGTAGGCCCTGGAAACCACCTTGGAGAGGTGAATTAACTGGTTTTGTACTGCTTAAGGTAGACTATGCATACCTTGCCTCCAAATGTAGGAACATTTACCTTGGAGTAAAGCCATATAATAAAGCAAATTAAAGTGTCTTCTAGGATCTGATATACTGCTGTAGCTATCGCCCCATTCTTCGCTGGTTGTACTTCAACTGTGCAGCTTGACCTCTGGACGCTGCCATTAGCCAACTAGATCTTCTGCCCGTAATTAGCGTATACTCTTATGCAACACTTTGGTTTAGTATAACTTCAGCGAAGACTCAAGGAGCTACCTTGGTTCATTTCCTTCCAGTTAAGCTGTTCTCAGTTCAGTGCTATCCTACCTAGGTTTCAATCAGCCACCTGATTATTGAAAGGAGCATTACAAATCTTTATGCAAGTGCCGTAATTTTCTCAACAGCAAACGTCTTTAAGCTGTTCAAGAGCCGTGTGGCTGTAATTGTTAACCATCTTTTTGAAGAGCATGAGATTGGACAGACCGTCAAAAGTTTACGTTGCTTTTCTGGTAATCATCCAAATAAATCAGCTAATTATCCTCTTTTATCGGTCACATTCGTCATTATCACCAGTGAAGTAATCAAAGTCTTTTCTGAGATTGTCCCAAACCATACCAATACGGAAGATGGCTTATTACTGACTCACAGAAGAGGTGGGAAGGCCATACCACCAAGACTGAAGTACAAACCATGGTTAGCAAATGTACGCTCCAAGAACAAAAAAGCCGAATTCTTAAAGTTTCTGGAAAATCTACTTCATTTTCGGTCTCTTATAAATTTCTGAGTCTGCACTTTATTTGTGATGCCCTTAAATGCAGGCATAGCCCTTCAACGGAACAGGTCTACTTGGATTATGGGTCAAAGGGGGAGTTAATTTTTATTCCCTCTGAAAAGAGTTAATGAAAGTAAGGTTTTATTGGAATCCCCAATGAGCCCGCTCATTTATAGTCGCTGCTGCTACTGCACTTGTCGTGGTCATAAAGTAGGGGCACTCAAAAAGGGCCCTGTTTGGGGTTTTAGGGCAGATTATACTAGAAATAAAAGTTAGCAGTACAAGTAAATACTTCTGGTTAACTTCTCAGCGCATAAAATAAAACAGGCAGGATTCACTAAAAAGTTTGTAGTAGATGGAAGCTTGGCTTGCGTACCATGGAACCCAGTTACCCATAAAACAATGTACTTTCTGATGATGCTCCTTGATTCCCATTAGTAGAAGACAATCCCAGCTAACGAGTTTTAGTAAGTGTTTTAAATATTGGAGTGATTTGACTTAAGGTTTAGGTGATTATACAAATTTTTAAATAAAAGTAGCACTCTGATTACCGATGAGGAAGTTAGGAGTCAAAGGTATCTTTAGATCAACGCTTGAAAGGGTTTGAAACTGGCATGACGAGCTCTACACAGCACCACCGCGAGGAAAAAATTTACAGTCGGCATAAAAGGTCTACTCAAAACCATATTGCATACAAACCTATGATTTTACTAAATTACCTTCCCCCTTATCGGGGCATCCAACCTTCAAAGACCCTAACTTTGAAGTAGTAGATTGAAGCATTGGAAAGTCTTCCTTCCTAGAGAGCATAAAATCAGCCGAAAATACTAAGTTGGGTTTTCATTTGGTTAGACCCTTTAAGATACAATTACCAACTAAGGTTCTGTTGCAAAAACAATAAACTTTAATTCCTCGATACATAAGAATGTTCAAGTTAGACCGAGACTTCAAAGCTCACATAATAAAAGTTGTTTTTCAAACAGAGAACAGTAGACTTATTTGTAAACCTGGCCACCTGTTCTATCCCAACTCTTACTTCAGCATTTAACCTATGCTTATAAAGCTCTAATGTAGACGGATTTGTCCGCAAGAAGCAACTGTACATGAATGCTTGTGTTATATTTATCAGTCCCACTAAAAACTTCTACTTTTGTCCTTTGCGGGCACGCAGATATCGGCAGGCTTGGGGTTTGCGCGGTCGTGGGCAAAGGACTCCGCTAATAACCACACGCCGCCACATGTACAAGCACGCCACCGCCGCCGTTGTCTGCCACGTCGATAAACGGTGTCTGGACTGCCTCCCATAATGTAAGCCCGCCGGCTATTAGGAGCAGCAAGAGGATGGATTTGGCACTTAAGGTTGTGCACGGTACCGCTAAGCTAGCATGCCCTTTCATACGCTTTGATAGAATAAAAAGTCTTGACTTGACTCGAATGCCTTCATTATTTTAATGGCACGGGATATCTTTCTGCTAGAACATTATTTGTGGAATTTGAATGAACCCTGGTCAAGCCTTTAACATTGCTTGTAGATGCTGCCTTCAATGTTTAGATGGCTGCGCCTTGAATTTGGTAACTTCGGTGTTTGCAGCATTAGCATAGCGGGCGTTTGATCGGTTATCTGTGGCCACTACTTTGCTACCCTTCTTGTTCACACCGCAAAGATGGGTTTACGATTCCCCGTCCCACTGACTTCATTATTTTCACATGTGTGCGTGGGAAATAGGAAAGCAGGCAAGGAGAAAGGGCCGGCCAATTTGGCAGTCTATGAAGTGAGTCGCGATATCGCGGGTGTGAAGTGTGATTTATCTCGCGCTCCAACTTGAAAGGCAGTGCGGCGTCAATTCACCGCGTCCACTTCTAAGAGATGTCAAGTGCTAATGGAAATGACCACCTATATCAGCTGACAATGGGAATATGTGCCACCGCAATCAGAGATAATTAAATCGCCTTATCCGATGCCGAATTCGTTAAACACCTACTTTTTGGAAGGTTATTAAAATTCTTTTTTACAAATATTTGGATGCTGGAAATTTCCAAAAGGTGTCCTTTTTGAACTTTTGTTACCGGTGCCCCACATACGTAGCGCTACGATTTCCCCCCTTGAGCTCGACGTCGCAGACATGTGACAAGAGTCCTTTGCCAGATTATGGTAACTTGGGTTGCACCAAGTTGAGCGTCGCAGACGGATCGGTCAAGTATAAAACAATAAAAGAGGCGTAAAATGTTCCTGGTCTGCCTCTTTCTAAGCCACAGCTGACTCGTTCAATCTGATGATTCAAGTGTTGGCGTGGTGTTGGGGCTGTGGTAGCAAACTCAAATTTACAAGGATAGACCAGACAAAAAGGAGCTATTTAAAGACCCGATTTATCTTCATCAAAAGGAAGGAACGTTTGTCAAAGCGAACTCTTTTACATTATTTCATCCAATTAGCATTAATAGAGGCACCAAAGCTTTCAGATAAATAGCTTACCTTCAATAAGCTGTCTCCTTTGGGCCGACGGCGTAGACTTTTATTTATAGAGATCATTAAGATATGCAAGTTTTTTTACTGCTAAGATGGCCAATCGCGTAAACAACATTCGCAAAGATTAAATAGACGCAAAAAGCTCTTCATTAGGTAGAATTATCGCTGACATCTCTAAAGGGAGAAGTTAAAACATGCGTTACCTTAATTAGGGTTATCTCAATTGCGCATCGGTGTCCTAGCAAAAAGCGCGCTGGAACCCACCCCACTGATGTTTAATCTCGCTGTTAAGACAACCAGTGGGTCTTGTTATTTCTAATCAGATACTTAGCCTTGATTTTGTCAAAAGCATGAAGGGATGCCAGCTGTTTCATTGATGTGATTATCGCTGAAAAGCTAGAATTTACAGACAGTAGGTAAATAAGAAGACCTAACTAGAAGGATGACACTCACTTTAGTATTTATTATTTATCCCCATCATCTAAAAACCGGACAGATGGAAGGCCCGTCTGTGTAAACAGTACTACAGTAGTTTATCTGCCGGAATCTAAATTGCTCTTTTGAGTCAACTTCAGTTTTACGGCTCATTTTCTTATTTGGGTCTCTGAGGCCAATCGACAGCCATAGACCTGACATCTTATCCGTCTAATGCAAAACAAACGCTGCTCAAAACCTAAATAACAATTGTCCTCCTCAGACTACAAAAATCCTGCATCCGTTTTATTTTAGCAAATTAACCTGTCTGTTTGCAGCATGATTCCGTGTAGCCATGGTTACTGTAGCCATATGATGGATCCATATTACGCGTTGGCGACGGCAGCTAACGTGTTAGTTTTGTCCAAGCTATCAAAATAAGTTAATCTGCCATTTATTTGGTTTTCTCTAAACATGAATGGAACAAAATTCATACTGCAACACTTCGCTAATTTGTTTGGCTCTTCGTTTGAGTTCCGCTGACACTCAAGGGCACGGTCTCCGGGCCATGCCAGTAGCCCCCAGCCCTACATTACGTCGAAAATACAATTTCTGGCCTAGTACTTTGTCTTCTTCCGTCGTCAGGGAAGACTTAGGGTGCTACATTAGTGGCAACTGAAAGCAAACTTGATTCTATAGGACAACTACTCCGAATTCTACTACTAAATGTCAAACCTTAATGTGATGGAAGACGGGGATACACTGGGGTTGGGAGAATAGAAGGGTTAAAAATGACGTCTTGCCTCGGCAACTACCGCAGCCCCTTGTTCTGCAGGAAGGCTACTAACAACTGAAGTGACACTAGTCCTGACCATAAACCAATTGGAGAACTTCGTTACGGAGTTGTCTACCATACCCGTATAAAGATGACAATCAAGTAAACACGCGGCACCTCTTCCTCCACCTCTCCACTGGCTGGATAGAACCCAGATGTTTATGTGGCTGGGGTGTAATAAAGTGGGACCAAATTGACAGGTTTGAATGGAAGTGAGACTTCATTCCCGCTAAACCATTATAAACTCTGTTTCGCATTCAATAATTGCTCTTGGGCCCGCGTTCTTATGACTAGCGTTGGACACACGTGATGGTCAGCACATACCTCAGTCTCCGAATCCAGTTCTCAAATAGGCCGAAACTCAAGATCCAATGTATTTGCCTAGCGAACTCGGTGAATTTACGGTCAGGTATCTCCTCACTTGTATGGAAATTCGGTGCCTGACATGGTTGGCTAGTGGATGCTTGCCTTACAGCCCCAATTACGCTGAGATAGCCGATGAGGGAGGTTGACAAAGGAGGAGCGTCGTAGGTGACGTTGTTTGTTGAAATCACGGGTTTTGATTAAGCGGACAATTAGGACTTCGCTATTTTACTTTCCCTGGATGGCATAGCCTCCGGGTCGTACCAGTAGCCCCTAGCCCTTCTATACACCCTAGTATTATAAATTCCTTTGTCTTAAAGGAAGTTCTGGAGCAAGGCATGTACTTGTTCGTTGACATTCGTTTAGACATAAACAATCTGAAAACCCTCGTCTCGTTGTAAGCAACAATCCCGTATTTGCATATCAAATTCGTATAAATCCGTTTCCATTAAACAGGGCCGAAAGGTCAGGTCAGTTAGGTGCTCAGTGTTTACAAATGGATCACCTGACGAAGCTTGACAACAAGCGTTTAATTTCTATTGTGTATGACCGAGACGTTTCATTTCATCCTGGTTTAATATGGACTACCCAGTTACCGCATCTCTTAATGCTTGATATTTACACAGAACACAGAGTACGAGCTTGCGATTCCCTAAAATAATGTTTTACATCTTTCTAACTGAATTAAGGCCAGAAGCTTTTAAATCGGATACAAAAAAGAGTTTGCGTCTGTTTCCAGTCAATTGACCTTTGATCCCACTTGACTAAGTCAAGCCATATATGTGTGATTAGTTGATAATAACTTGATTGAAAAAAAATAATTATAAAAGTAGCAAGGTAGACTGGGAATGGAGTGATGTTTAAGAGATGCCTCGGTGTCTGGCTCGACAGCCCGTCAATTTCATGCTATGGCACCTGCCACATTCAATCTGT